AATCACAGTTCTCACTTGGTGTAGAAGTTGTCTGGGGCTTTAATTCTTGTGCCCTCTTCTTCTCAGTGCTAATCACAACCCACATTCACGCCAGAGGCTCTTGTCTGTACAAGGGGAGGGGTTGGCGGCAGAGAAGGTTTTAGAGCGAGAGAAGGTTTTAGGAAAAGGGAAAAGAATTAACTTTCAGCTGGTGTCTTTTTTTTTTTTTAATATTTATCTTATTTTCATTACAAAGTCAGATATACAGAGAGGAGGAGAGACAGAGAGGAAGATCTTCATCCGATGATTCACTCCCAAAGTGAGTGCAATGGCCAGTGCTGCACCGAAGCCAGGATCCAGGAACTTTTAGGTTTCCCACGCAGGTGTAGGGTCCCAAGGTCGTGCTCAACTGCTTTCCCGGGCCACAAGCAGGGAGCTGGATGGGAAGTGAAGCTGCCGGGATTAGAACCGGAGCCCATATGGGATACTGCTGTGTTCAAGGTGAGGACTTTAACTGCTAGGCCATGGCGCTGGGCCCTCAGCTAGTGTCTTGAAACCCAACCTTTTAAAGCCAGGGTTGTAAAACTTAATTGCACATTAGAAATCTCTGGAGACCTATTAATAAGCGTGATACCCAAACCTCTAGCTTTCAAACTTTACAGTACATCAGAACGACCTGAAAAAGTCTTTTCTTTATAAAGATTTATCTTTATTTTATTTTATTTTGTTTTATTTTATTTTTATTGCAAAGTCAGATATTCAGAGAGAAAGATCTTCCGTCTGCTGGTTCACTCTCCAAGTGGCCATAATGGTCGGAGCTGAGATCTGAAGCCAGGAGCCAGGAACCTCTTCTGGGTCTCCCACACAGGTGCAGAGTCCCAAGGCCTTGGGCCATCTTTGACTGCTTTCCTAGGCCATAGCAGGGAGCTCGATGAGAAGTGGAGCTGCCGGGAACATGAACTCGGTGCCCATATGGCATCCCGGTGTGTACAAGGCAATGACTGTAGCCACTAGGCTGCCACGCTGGGCCATGGATTTTGCATTTCTAACACATTCAAGGTGATGCTATGAAGCACTAAGGAATGCCCTAGATTATTTAGGATCTTATATCAACTCCCTCAGAACCACTGCAGGTGGCACATGCACTTCCAGTTGATGTTTCTCCTTCCCACGTGATTGACATGCAGAGTTAAGGAACACCCAGGAGAAGGGAAGCTTCCGAAGGCTGGGGCGGGACAGTCAGGCGTCCAGAAGACAGTGCATGTAAAGATGAGTGTGTGCTGTCAGTGTCCTGGCCGACCTTCACCACACACTTAGCGTTATGTCCCCAGCTGCTCTGCCTGCAAGGTTCCAATCCCTTTGTCGTGCTCTTTCCCACAATATCCCTCGTCTTCTTCCTTCCCGTGGTTTCCTTCTCATCCACAGTAACAGTCTCATGCCTTGAGTCACATTTCCTTGGGTCGCCCCTTGGAATCCAAGAAAGAGCTGTGGTGGCACAGAAGGATCTTGTCTGCTTGCACTTGTTCTTGTTCACTGCTATGTCGTTAGATGACCCAGAAGAAAGCAAAATGCTGCTTTCTCTGACCTTAATATCCGTGGCTGTAAGAGGCGAACACTGCAGGAGCGCTCCCTGATCCCGTGCATCGAGCGCCGGTCACCGCTGGACCCATTTACCCTCAGGGACTGACTTGACTCGATCCTTGCTTACCACACCAGCCTTTGGCTACAATTTCAAAACTGTTTTGATTACACCTGCTTGACTCATCCCATTCTTTGGACATGGCCGCCTCACTCTGTGGTAAATAGCATGGATTCAATTAGATAATTATGCTGCCTCTCTGGATCTAAGACAAACTACACAACTAGACTTTGCTTTCTCATCTGTAAATAGGGCTAAAATTCATGCCTGCCTCATAGGGTGAGGATGCCTTGATCAGACAACCAATGTGTGCTGAGTTTAATACCTGGATCGAAGTGGGAGATGTACATGTGTATGCACTGATCTCATGTATTTTCCTTTGAGCATACATTTTATGGTAAGAGATAGTCTGGAATAAGTATTGAGATTTCCCTAAGAAGAGTAGAAAGTGGAGTTCATGAAAACATTGGTAACAAAGCATATGCATAAGCATTTGCTTTCTTACGCATAAAGTGCTAGTCTAATATGGGGTGATACTTTGTGGATTTTTAAAAAAAGATTTATTTCCTTTTATTGCAAAGTCAGATTTCCCAAGAGGAGAGACAGAAAGAAAGATCTTCCATCTGCTGGTTCACTCCCCAAGTGACCACAACAGCCAGAGCTGAGCCTATCTGAAGCCTGGAGCCAGGAGCCTCTTCCAGGTCTCCCACACGGATGCAGGGTCCCAAAGCTTTGGGCTGTCCTGGACTGCTTTCCCAGACCACAAGCAGCAAGTTGGGTGGGAAATGGCACTGTCGGGATTAGAACTGGCGCCCATATGGGATCCAGGTGCATGCAAGGCAAAGAGTTTGGCCGCTAGGTTACTACAGCAGACAGTACTTAGTCAGCTTTTATCTCAACACCTAAAACTCGACACATTAATAATTATTGGACAATTGAGTGAAAGTGGCCTCTCAGAAGCAAGACATGGAAATGTGATCCTCATATTCAGATATTTTATTTTTAAGCAACCATCATTCTTCATTGATTTTAATCCTACCTGTATGGCATTAATTCAAATTATTTTTCTCCAGAAATCTCAAATCTTAGACTTCATGTCTCCTACTATCAGGAGGGGAAAGAAATTAGACTGTATCTCTTTTCTTTTAATTGTCCATCTTAAATTTAGATGGTGTGTTTTTAATTTTTGTTTTGAGCTTTGAGAAATATAGCTTAGTCAATATGTTCAGAGAGGTGGTTAAAGGAGCTTGTATAAACCAACAGTGACTGTAGTGAGTGATTTCAAATACGTGTCACACTATGACACTGTAATTACAGCTGTCTTATTTTCTTTTGGCAGAATTTGAATGATATTCGTTTCATTGAGATAATTGGAAACTTTCATCCACTTACTATTCAATAGAGGCAATTCAGAGCACTGTGCTAACAAAAGAATATCTGGGAGATAGGAGACTAAATTTATAATCTTGATCCCACTGACTCAATAAGTATTAGGGAGTCAATTCAATTGACTTTAGCTTTGGTTTTCTTCGTCATCTGTAGAAGTAGTTGGATTGGCTCATCTTTTGTCTTCTAGCTAGACAGATGACTGATTCTGTCATTCTGTTTGTTCATTTGAATCTTACAGATAAGCTGATTCCTGGTTCAACATAAAGAGTTATTCTACTTATAGATAAATAAGATACAGTTGTATTATGAAACTTAGGAGTTTATCTAAAAGGAGGAAGTGAGAAAAGATCAGTGTGAACTGAACATAGAATATGCCACTCCCTCTATATTCCAAATTGGAATACTTGCTTTGTGATGTTGCCATAATTCTATTATAAGGCTTATTTTAACGATTTTGTTCAGTGTTAAGTGGTTTTTCTGGGTTTATGTGGGAGTAGCGCATTGACTGGAGATGATAACCCATAAATTCCTTTCTCAGTATTGAAAGTTAGTGTTTTTTTCTTTTTGTTAAACACTTAATACTAATTAGTGGCAATAGTTTAGGGGTGCTTATTAGCCTTCCTCTATTTATTTCCTCCCAGTCACTTAAGTGATATAGGTTTCATGATGCTGTCCATCTTTCCTTTTTAAAATAGCATCCCTTTGGTCTGATCTCTCTTAGTTTAAATTCTTGTCTCAATAATTCACAAATACCATACAAAGAGTACATGGTTAAAACATGTTGAATTAAGACTTTGGGAAGGTGAGTTTTGACTGGGAGGAAATAAATAGAGGAAGAATAATTTTGGGCCAGAACTCTTTTTCTCAAAGCTCATGATAAGAAAATCCCCAGCATCCTGTTGGACATCAGTGGGAAAGGATGATCTTATTTATGCAAGTCAGGAAAAGATTAATGGAACAACTTAGATAATGGAGACTTAGGGAAGGTTGCTAAATGGGAGTGTGACTAGCTGCAAATCTACATATCAAATGATGAACTTAATGGTCCAACTTTGAGGAAGAGCTTTACTCTCACTTCTTGGCATACAGTATGTGGAAGGTGGGCCATGACGAGACCTGACTCATAAGCCTGTGGCATGGTGGATTTATAGCATTTAGCACTAATCAAAGTGGCCGTCATGTGTACTTTCTCCACTCTAATATTTACTTTTTCAAGGGCTAAAATAAGTGTGTCTATGTTTTCTTTCCTATTTCCATTATTTCGTTTGAGAAGGGCTAGTTTGGGCATTGTTAGAGAGTTATAATGAAAAAATGCACACTAACACGTGATTCTTTTTATTTACTCCACAGGGTAACTGCCTCTTGTGGCTGTTGCCAGGAAGAACATTGCCTGAGACACTCTTCCGTGGAGACAGGTGGGTGAGAGCATTCGTCTATAGGATGGAGCAGTGAATACGAGTCTGGTAACCCACCGCATGTCTAAAGTCTCATTTTGTTGGGATGAATACAATTTAGTAAAAATATCTAGTACTTGGCGAATTTTTGTTGGAAAAAGGCTAATTAAACTAGAATATAATGCGAAAATAAAGCAAATCTAAAACTAAACTAGAATGTATCATTCTAGTTTTCTTTCTGTTCTTGACTAAGTTGCTTTAGTGGAATTTCCCAAAATATTTAGACCTAATTGCAGTTCAGACCTTAGTAGAGACCATGATAATTCAGATGTCTGTAGTGGTTTACACCAAAGTCCTTGGTCTTCAATCTTGCAATTGATGTTGTAACAGTTTTGTGATATTACTTATACGCAGTAATCACTTTTGAAATAATCTGATAGGAGCAAATCTTAGTTTCCAGCACATAGGTTACATAGAGAAACATTCAATAAAAGTTTGTGGTTGGTGATGAACCCTGTGTCCAGGAGTTCCACACTGAGTCATAATTGGCTTTGTTTTGGGAGAGTATATGTAGATTGATGGAGCCAGGCACAGGGAGAGTAAGAATTCTTGTAATAACAACATAGCAGTTGATCACCCACTTGTTATTCAAAACAACCGAACTGCAGGGAAGACTTTTCTAATCCCAGAATATAGGTATAAGCTTGATGTCTACCGCAGAGAAAATGTCTACCGCAGATTTGATGGAGAATCTCAGAGAAGAACTCACCTGTTTTATCTGCCTGGACTATTTCAACAGCCCAGTGACCACTGAGTGTGGGCACAGCTTTTGCCTGATGTGTCTCCTCAAGAGCTGGGAGGAACATAACACGCCTTTATCTTGTCCTGAGTGCTGGAGGACCTTGGACGGCCCCCATTTCCAGCCCAATGAGCGTTTGGGGAGGCTGGCCTCTATTGGCAGGCAACTCAGATCACAGGCGTCACAGAATGAGGACGAACAAGGCAACTTTGGGAGAGTAGGAGCAGCAGCAGCGGCAGCAGTAGCTGCTGCAACTACTAAGGTGTTCTCTGATGATGAGCAGAGTACAAATTCTTTCTCAATCCCATGTCATGGAATAAACCGAGTGTATCTTTCAAGTGAGGCTGAGGAACAACACAAAGTAAGATCGGTTGCTCAATAGAAATCCCCCAATCTAAGTCAGGTTCTGTCACTCAGCTTCCCTAATATTCTTCATGCGTGTCAGTTATGATGGTCCTCTCCCAGCACCATGGCAGAAACTGTGTGGACCCCATGTTTATCTTTTTCTTTTAGAGTGCCAGGCATCCTGTTTTAGATAGCAGTCGTCAAGGTCTCTCCATGACCAGGTGCTGTTCTTGTTTGCCACAGGGTGTTTCTTTCTTTTACAGGAAAAACTCCATGAAATCCTAAATCTTTTGCGTAAAAAGAGAAAGGAAGCTCAGGTTATACTGACCCATGAGAAGGAGAGAGTGATACTGTGTAAGGTTAGTACTACTCTTACTTTTGGATTTTATTTGTCATTGGTATTTTGAGGGGGACTAGAAGGGGCATACTTCCTATCAGAACAGTGTTTTTTTCTCGCAGTATACACATAGTAGTATCCATGTCCTGCTTGGCTTGTCCACTTGGATGTTTCAAGACTCAGTTCAAGTTCCCCCATTTCTAAGCAGACATGTTTCCTCTCCTTCTTTGTGCACCTAGGGAACTTTATTATGAGACTCTGATTGTAATTATTTAGGGTACTAGTTTTACAGACATAACATGGGATGGCAATACATTTTTTAAACATCTTTTTAATGTTTTATTTTTGTTGGAAAGTCAGATATACAGAGAGAAGGAGAAACAGAGAGGAAAATCTTGCATCTGTTGATTCGCTCCCCAAGTGGCCATCCCCCCCGGGAACTAAGCTGATCCAAATCCAGGAGCCAGCAGCTTCTTCCAGGTCTCCCATGTGGGTGCAGGGTCCCAAGGCTTTGGGCCATCTTTGACTGCTTTCTTAGGCCACAAGCAGGGAATTGGGTGGGAAGTGAGACAGCAGGGTTAGAACTGGCATCCAAATGGGATCCAGGTAAGGGCAAAGCAAGGATTAAACTACTAGACTAGCATGCCAAGTCCTGCAATAAATTTTAAAAAAGATGCTCTCAAATGATTTCAGGGAAAACAAGGGAATACACACTAAAAAAAGAAAGAGAAGGAGAGAGAAAAGCAAAATGGTAGGCTGAATTATATTCAAGATTAGTCACAGATTTAGATTTGAGCTGCCAAGTAGTTAAAGCAAAGAATTAAATGTTTAATTAGCTATAAAAAAATAAGTGAATCTGATGCTCTCAATAGACTTTGAGTTCTGAAGTGGGAGTGATGTATATATTCTATTCCTAGTATGAAATGCAAAGCCTTTTCCATTAGGTAAATATTTGTTGAATAAAAAAACACCAAACTTTCATAATTTTCTTCCTTCATTTTGCTATTTGAATTCATAATGCTGGTCAGCAGCTGCCTTTTGCGTTATTTTTGCTTTTCTCCAGTATACCGACAGGCTCCTGAAAGTAAAACTTTAGAGGTTTTTCTGCTATGATACTCACAGCACACATGCATACTTTCAAAAACATCAACTTCTCCACTGTGGTACTCGGTAGCCTAAGGATGTGTCAGGAGTCAAGAATTATCACAGCAGAGCTCTGAATCTGTGTGAGGATTAAGCATCCACAGTTGTGTTTCTGTTATTAACCTCACTACATTGTGTGTGTGTGTGTGTGCTAGGAAGAGACAGAGACATGTAAACAAGTTGTTGTGTCAGAGTATATGAAAATGCAACAGTTCCTGAGGGAAGAGGAGCAGCTGCAGCTTCAGTTACTGGAAAAGGAGGAGAGAGAAAACGTGAAGAAACTGAGGGACAGTGAGATCCAGCTGACCCAGCAAATCAGAAGCCTAAGCAAGATGATTGGGCAGATCGAGTCTGCATTTCAGAACTCAACCATAGAATCTTTTGAGGTAAGACTAAACTTAGCGAGTGTACGGGGAAAATTCATGAGAAAAAAAAAATGTATACAAACTCAGAGAGTATTTCAATGAAATACATTTTCCTCACTTGAAAAATCTGTTTTAGCCCAAAAGCAATGTGCCGAGGTAATTGATGGTTTACAGGCCAGTAAGAGGTGAAAACACCAGAAGATGTTCTGTCCCAAGTGAGTCCGGAAAGGACTCCGGTTTGTTCTGTGCCTACCCCTCTGGAGCTCAGCTTTGTCAACTATATTAAATTTATTCATCAGCATTTACTATGTGCTGCTGCATTCGTCTTCACAAACATCTGGTGAAGGTATTGGTAAGATAGCAGCTGCAGGTGATTGTCATCTACAGAGCGAAGGTAGAGTAGCATTGACGTGGCAATTCAGACGCAGGGCGGTGAGGCAATTAACCTATGAGATAACTGCATGGTGGTGGAGTCCAGATGTTACGTACATTATGCCTACGTTCCTCACCAATTTTTTTTTCCCCTACTGCCGCTGGGGGTACTGAGTTCCCTGGGATCTTCTGAAATACAAGCCATGTGGGTTATCTCCAGCCTCAAATCACTTTCCTGAAACAGTCTTGGAGAACACTAGTTTTTACTGTCTTTCAAACAGTTTGTCCAAACGTACCCAGGCTTAGTCTCACTTTATCTCCTGCTCCCGTGTAAGGTATGCTGGGGCCCTGGGAAGCAGATTCTGTGGATTTTGCAAAGGATCAATTTTCGCTAGTGATTAGAATGCATGGTGCTAATCACTTTTCTCTTCTGCCCTCAGGAGGTGAGAATAGCACTGGAAAGGTAAATTTCTGTTCTGTCTTACGTAAGATGTGGATATATATGGTGTTGATGGAACAGACTGTGCGTGTGGAAGGGATTGTCTAGGTGACTGGGGTAAATGAGATGTATTGTCACATGGGAGCAAGGTATGCAGTGTGCCAAGGACAGCATGGGGGTCACTCTTCTTTTTCAGGAGTGAGTCGCTCTTGCTTCAGTGTCCAGAGGCCACCACCACAGAACTGAGTCTGTGCCGCGTCACTGGAATGAGAGAGATGCTACGAAAATTCAGCTGTAAGTCAGTCGGACTTGTCAAAGTTTCTAGGAGGCCCAAAGCTAACTCCAGCGTTTGTTAAGCGTGACTCACAGTGCTTGGACAGCCACTTCTCTTGTGAAATATTCACCATAGGATGCCAGGTTCTCAGGCATCCCGAGCAAGCCACAAACACCAGGGAAGGCTGGAGCCACAGACTGTTTCTGTGTTTGGGCAGGAGAAGCAGTGGAGTGTGACTGGTGCTTTTTAAAAAACTTTTATTTGAGAGAGAGAGAGAGAGAGAGAAGGGGAAGCAGAGAGAATTCCCATTAGCTGGCTTGGTTCCCGGATGAGAGTTCACCTGCTGTCTTCTTGCGTAAGCATTGTCAGGAAGCTAGAATGTAGAGCAGGGCAGGGATTGGAGCCAGGCATTCCAGGAGGTGATTGGCATTCCAAGCAGTGCCTTAGCCAGGGGCCAGGGGAGAGGTTTCACTGGCTTTGTTTGCCTTTTAAGGAGTCCTAGCCTTTCGTTTTTATTGTTTTCTTTTTGTCTGCTCCATCACCTGCACATGTGCGGACACACTCACACATACACACTGGCATGCCGGTACTTAGCCCTCATGCAGAAGAGTCTTCTTTTCTAGCTCGGTTCCCACTAAGATAAAAGCCAATTTCAACTCTTGCATCTCAGGGAAGGAACATTCAAAGAGCTCTGTCCTTGGAGAATGTTCAGTTATCTAGGTGGTCTAAGATGAAGCGGGATCAGCATCGTTCCTTGGGTTTTTGTCCTGTGGACCATCAAGTCCTCAGACGCAGGCCAGAGCACCTCACACTTAGTAGGTACTCAGTAGTTGCTACTGCGTGCTGAGTTTTATGCTGTTAGGCTGTGAGCCTACTAAGGTGATGAGCGAGACAGATGTTAACTTTGCTTTTGGAGAATTTTCAGTGAAACTGAGGAGACAGAATTCAATCTTAACAACTAATTAGTTGGGCTTTGACTTATAAATGAAAATATAAAATTATATGACTCAGGCACTTGATTTTTGTGCAAATGGGGTATAAACATTGGAGGCCCTTCAATGACCACCTTCCTGTGTCACTGTGAAGCTCTGTTTTATCAATTGCTTCATCAAATGCTCTCGGGGGCTTCCACTAACTCACAGGAGGCTGTGCCTCAAGTGCGGCACGATGAAAAATGCTGTCTAGAAATTGCAGTTCAAGGACTTGATAACTTGGTGAAGTGACCTAAACTTAGCCTATTATCTTTTTCTATATAAATGGGGAAAATTACAACGATGAGATGAGAATGCGTAGAAGCTGCTTGGTGTGGGAGCTGAAGTTGTGGCTCAGCTGACTAAGCTGGTACTTGTGACACTGAAATTCCACATTGGAGGACTCGTGTGAGTCCAGGCTGCTCCATTTCCCATCTAGTTTCCTGCTAATGTGTCTGTAAGGCAGCAGAGGCTGGAACAAGTGCTCGGTCACCTGTTGTTCATGTGGGAGACCTGGATGGTCTGTGCTCCTGGCTTTGGGCTGTAATATGCTGGTGCCAGCAGCTGTGGTCAGCTGGGCCATAGACCAGTGGATGGAAGGTTATCTAGTTCTGTCCCTGTCTCTGTCTCTTTGTCACACTGCATTTTCTAACTACATACCAGCTTTAATAAAGAGAAGCAACTTAGCACGTAGCGAGGAATTCAGCGAACATAACGGCTTCTGTTTTCCTCCTACCCTGGCTGGAACCAGCCAGGTGTCCTTGGGAGAATATGGAGCTGTGATCTAAAGCCGCCTCCCAACAGCACGGCTTCCATTCTGCTGTCAGAGACTCCTCGCTCTTCCCACAGAAGCCAAAAAGTGTTCTCTGCTGTTTGCTTTTAAAGATTCATTCTATTTCATGCAGTTCAGAGATTCTGACAACCCATTTCCCTTCCATTATATTCACCGGAATTGTATTTTAAGACACAGGACTAAATATTTTTAAAAAAGATTTATTTATTTTTATTGGAAAGTCAGATATACAAAGAGGAGGAGAGACAAAGAGGAAGATCTTCTGTCTGATGGTTCACTCCCCAAGTGGCCACAACTGGGCCAATCCAAAGCCAGGAGCCTGGAGCTCTTCTGGGTCTCCTATGTGGATGCAGGGTCCCAAGACTTTGGGCCGTCCTCGACTGCTTTTCCAGGCCACAGGCAGGGAGCTTGATGGGAAGCAGATCTGCTGGGATTAGAACCGGCGTCCATATGGGATCCCAGGCGTGCAAGGAAATGACTTTAACCTCTATGCTATCAGGCCATGCCCGACACAGGACTAAATATTAAGGACCTAATTAAAATCCTATCTTATATACAAGGCTTTTCAAGAAGGCCACAAGGTTCATTCTTTCCTCATCTTGCAGCGGAGATAACCCTGGATCCAGCCACAGCCAACGCCTATCTAATCCTGTCTGAGGACCTGAAAAGTGTGCGATACGGAACAACACGACAGCAGTTGCCTGACAACCCGGAACGATTTGACCAGTCTGCAACGGTGTTGGGTGCTCAGATCTTTAGCACTGGGAGGCACTACTGGGAGGTGGAAGTGGGAAACAAGACGGAGTGGGAAGTAGGCATCTGCAAGGACTCAGTGAGCAGAAAGGGGAACCTGCCGAAGCCCCCCGGGGACCTTTTCTCACTCATAGGGTTGAAAATCGGAGACGATTACAGTCTTTGGGTCTCATCCCCTTTAAAAGGCCAGCATGTTAAAGAGCCTGTACACAGGGTTGGTGTTTTCTTAGACTATGAACGTGGACACATAGCATTCTATAATGTGACAGATGAGTCCCTCATCTACAGTTTCCCGCCAGTCTCTTTCCAAAATTTAGGCCTCAGGCCTATCTTTTCCCCTTGTCTCCCAAATGAAGGAACAAATACAGACCCTCTGACCATCTGCTCACTGAACAGCCATGCCTGAGCAACGCCTTGAGCTTCCCTGAGAATGTGGGCTAAAACCAACAAATGACTGCTGATTAAGATGATTAATGCGTTGACAGTATGAATATCGGGTGATCTGAACAACTCCCCTCCTTGAGAGTTTCCATTGACTTGCGCCCTCATTGAACATTCCTATTAGACAATCAACTTCAACATCGCTGTTCATATCCTGTGTTGTTAACTTCATTCATCATTCAGGCTACCCCGTGTGTGTGTTGTCACCCAAATCATGGGGGCAGAACTAGCCTTTCTTACCTTGTATCCCACCTAGGCCAAGCTTATAAATACATGCCATTTTTAAGTATATGTAATTCAGTGGACTCTTTTTTTTTTTTTTTTCCCAATTATCTATTTGAAGGGCAGAATTACCCAAGAAGAGGAAAAGACATAGAGAACTTCCATTTGCCGGCTCACTCCCCAAATGATTGCAAGGCCAGGGCTGAATAAGGTCAAAACTAGGATTTGATGTCCTCCAGATTTCCCACTTGAGCACTAGGAATCCCAACACTTAGGCCGTCTGCTTTCCCCATGCCTCTAGCCGAGAGCTGGATCAGAAGTGGAATAGCCGGGACGTGAACTTATACCTCTATGAAATGCTGGCACTGCAAGCAGTGGATTTACCCTCTATGCCACAATAGCAGTCCCTTCACTGGACTCTTAATATTGTGCCTTTGACCTGTTTGTAGAGCTCTGCAGACTGGGGCAGCCCAGATCTCTTGAGGTCTCTGGTACATGGGTCCTGCTCTCCAGGGTAGGTATAGGAACTCAGGCCTCAGTCTTCTCTGAAAGTCACTTTTCTTTCTACCTCCTGAGGCCTGAGTGTTTGCGTTCATCACAGCTCATGAGTTCAGAATAATGTCACTTGTGTTACCATAATCACAAGAGACTGGCACCTTCTGTTGTTTGTTAGTAGAACAGAAGATGACAAAGTTTCTATTCAATAAATACATCTGGACAATGATGCCAAGGAGTTCCACCCAACCTTGTATTAAATTATTTTTTTGTGCGTTTGTTGTTCATGTTAAGAAGGCTTTCAGGGGCCATTACAGTGACCTAGTGGCTATCCTCGCGTTGCAACTGCCGGGATCCCATATGGGCACTGGTTCGTGTCCCGGCTGCTCCACTTCCCTTTCAGCTCCCTGTTTATGACTTGGGAAAGCAGTGGAGGAAAGTCCAAAGCCCTGGGACCCAGCACCTATAGTGGAGACTCGGAAGAAGCTTCTCATTCCTGGCCTCGGGTCAACTCAACCCTGGCTGTTGTGGCCAGTTGGGGAGTGAACCAGTGGACGGAAGATCTCTCTCTCTGTCTCTCCTTCTGTCTGTCTTTCTGATAAAGTAAATAAAATATATATATTTTCAAGGTTTTCACTCCCTGGAAGGGCAAATGAAGCTCCTTTTCTGTACTTACTTTTCAGCAGTTGAGTGTTAAGGCAGGTGTCTGGCTGAGCTCCTGTTGTCTGGTGTCAGACCACGTTCTGGGGGGTAGAAGGTTGCGCTCACATTCCTCGTTCTTCCCTCCTCTCCATCTTATCCGAGTGATGTGTGATGGGATTCGGCTTTACTCACATGGCAGAACATCACTAATCACAGGCAGTGTCTCTTTTGCCTTCTCCTACCACGCGGAGAAGTCAGCATGGTGAAGCAGACAAGACAGTCAGACCCAAGCAACACCTGGCAGCGTCATTCCTAAAGATTTTGGGAAGAAAGCTCATCCCATGCTTAAAATTTTTTTTCATGTTTTAATTAATTACTTAATTTTAATGTTTATTTATTTTTATTGTAAAGTCAGATTTTTAAAGAATGAGACACAAAAGGATCTTCCTTTTGCTGATTCATTCCCCAAGTTGCTGCAATGGCCGGTGCTGAGCCGATCCGAAACCAGGAGCTAGGAGCTTCTTCTGGGTTTCCCACACAGATGCAGGGTCTCAAGGCTTTCAGCTGTCCTCAACTGCTTTGCCAGGGAGCAGGAAGGGAAGTGAAGCTGCTGGGATATGAATTGGTGCCGCTAGGGGATCCAGGCACCTTTAAGATAAAAATTTTAGCCACTAGGCTACCGTGGTAGGCTCTAATTGTTATTTTTTAAAAGATGTGTTTTATTTTTATTTGAAAGGCAGAGTTACAGTGAGAAGAAAAAAACAGAGGCGAGGTCTTGCATCTAATGCTGAATATCACAAATTTCCCTCAACAGCCAGAGCTGTACTGAAGTCAGGAGCCTGGGGCTTTTTTTTGGGGTCTCCCACATGGGTGCAAGGGCTCATGAGCTTGAGTCATGGTCTGCTGCTTTCCAAAGCCATGAACAAGGAGCTGGATCAGAAGTGGCGCAGCCAGGACCCGAACTGGTGCCCATGTAGGATGGTGGCACTGCAAGCAGAAGCTTAGCCTTCCACATCACGGTCAGAGTAGGTTCTTTTCTTTCTTTCCTCCTTCCTTCCTTTTTTCTCTTTTTTCTTTCATTTTCTTTCTTTCTTTCGAGTTGAACACTAGGACGGGCCATAACTGACAACTGAATCTGTCACTCAGCATGCAAGGCCATAGAGGGAGGTCATATCTCAGGGTTTGTATTCCATAGTCGCATTGATCCAAATCTGTTTTCTTTCAACCTTATACATTTTCACTTTGTATCTTAAAGGCATGGAGGCAGACATAAAACAGGTTTGGTATCCCTGAAAATGCTCTCATTCCTTCTCTGTATTTGTTATTTAGATTTTCATCCTAATGGCAAACAGAGAACTCTAGAGCAGAACCTAACACCAGTTTGTTTCCTATGAGCAATGTCATTGGATAGACTTTATTCATTTTTGACATCAAAGGCACATGAATTGTTGAGCAGCACGTTAAGCTGCCGCTTGGGATGCCCACATCCCATAATGGGGTGCTTCTTGCTAATGTGCTTGGGAAGCATCAGATGATGGATCAAACACAGGAGTCACTGCTACCAACATGGGAAATATGGATGGACTTGGCTCAGTCCCAGCTGGTGTCTGCTTTTGAGGGGTGACCTGCAAGTTGGAAGATCTTTCTTTGTCAGTCTGCCTTTCAAATAAGTAAGTAAATCTTTTAAAGAAAGTCTCAGAAGTGCACATCAAAAATGACAATATTTCTCACCAAAAATATAACTTTTTTGAATAAAAGCAATGAAAATGATAAAGTGAAAGAGTATTTTAAGTTAGTATATATTACATTTAATTGTAGTGAAAGTCAGGCAATAGTTCCTTTTTTCTTCCTTGTCTTAAAGGGATCTATACTGCTAAGGAAGTGAGCTGGTTTTCTTTTCTGGCAAATTCATCCTGAGTGGCACTTTCCTTTACCATTGACTATACTGGACCCACCACAGATTTTGGGTGTGTCGAGAAGGATCAGTCTATCCTATTTTTTTTTTAATTTATTTATTTTTTATTGGAAAGGCAGATACACAGAGAGGAGGAGAGACAGAGAGGAAGATCTTCCATCTGATGATTCACTCCCCAAGCAGCCACAACGGCTGGAGCTGAGCCAATCCAAAGCCGGGAACCAGGAGCTCTTCCGGGTCTCCCACACGGGTGCAGGGTCCCAAGGCTCTGGGCTGTCCTCCACTGCTTTCCCAGGCCACAAGCAGGGAGCTGGATGGGAAGTGGGGCTGCTGGGATTAGAACCGGTGCCCATATGGGATCCTGGCGTGTGCAAGGCTAGGACTTTAACTGCTATGCTCTTGTGCGGGGCCCAGTCTATACTATTCTTACTCTTCCGGGTTTGCATGAGCAACAATTAAAAAATTTGCAAGAAAATTTTCACTGAGGATTTCCACAAAACAAACCAAAAGCCAGACAGACATGGTGGTGAAGGTGAAAATGAGGGTGGTTCTAATGCAACCTTGAAGGGCCGGGGGTTTTGTTGCCTAGGCCTTTGGAAAAGCACTTTTCTCCTGACAGGAGTAGTGTCCATGTGGAAGCTTGTCACTGTTCCTTAAATAGTCCCTTTATTTTCCTTTTACTCTCCTGGGCCCCTGCATTGATTTTTTCTTGAGCAGACAATCTTCAGGAGTAGCAGTTCACAAGCAGTCTTTCATTCATTGGGCATTGCCAAGATGGAATCTAGAATCATAACTATTTTCTTCTCTACCTCTTCCCCGCCCCACCCTCCCCCCTTGGAAGAGGGAGAAAATGACCAGTTGTGGGATCGAAGGATATCAAAAGTAATTTTCTACAGAGGATAAGAGTTTGACTTTTGTTTTCTGATTTCCTTTGTCTTTCAGCAGCTTAAATCAATCAATCAATCGATCCATCTTTCTATTCTTGCCTCAAAATACAAATGACAAAACAAAATGCCAGTTTTCAGAAGAGCTCCTCCTCTATTCTCCCGTTCCAATCATCTCTACAACCCCCAGGGCTATTGCAAAACTCCAGCCTAGAATGCTTGGAGAATGTTGGTACCTTATCTGATTGGATTGCTTTACAACACCCTCTAGCACCAACTGAAGAATGCTCCCAGTCCTGCTTTCCACATTCTGGAATTTCTCCCCATGCCTGTATCTTGGAGGGATGGGAGCAGAACAAAGGACAAAGTCAGACAATGGACCAGCACAGAAATGCAAAGCAATCATGTAGAGTCTGACTAATAGAGACAATCAACACATTTATTTTGTCATCTGTTTTTATGGTTATTTGCTTTGCACAAATATTTTAAGCAAAATGAAGATTAATATTTTCTTGGTCACATTTAGTGAACCTCCTTCATACCATTAGATACTTCTTGAGAATATGATTTTTTTATTCCTACATTTATAAACTTGTGTGTTTGAAGAGGCATCACACTTATTAAATTACATTTATCACATAGAAATATTTACACTCAATAAACAATACAATATCATCTAGTATATAATCCATATTAAAAAATTTCCATTTGTACTTGTAATGTTCTTTACAGCTATTTTTTTCCTAGTCTTTGAACATCTAAGAGTAATATAGGAACACTTCTTGAATTTAATTGTCTCAGATAATACAATTTTTAATGGGAGCAATATTTCATTATTTGCCCCTAATTTACTTAATCCTTTCCCTCCTGTATTACATGTAGACTTTCTCCTATTGGTAACTGTTATAAATGACACTGGAAGGAATTTGTGTGTATGCAGACTTTTAAGATGCATCTCTAACTACCTCCCAAGTGTATCTTCTGGAGTCAAGAAATCTGCCTGTTTGTCCTGAAGCCATGTGCTTGTCAAAGTTCTTCGTGCATTGCTGGTGGTCCCAAAACTCAGAGTTCATATCAAACGGTAGACACACTTTGGGACAG